TCGGCATGTCTTGTTCTGTGGAGAGCTGACCGCCCCCTGGAGAGCAGCCAGGGGGACTCACGGGCGGCGCTCGCAGGCCGAGCAGACCTTGCGGGGAGTCGAGGGCATGAGGTCAGGGATGCGTATGCACAGGAATGCAGATAGAAGCTCAGGCTGGGGCGTGGTTCAAACTCTTGCTATGCCATAGAGGGTGAGACTGCCCTCGGACCTACACTGCCACCTCAGCTCATCCGGCCGGGGACACTGGGCCCCACACGAGAAGAGGCCCGGGGGCGCCCCTCTACCTGTGCATGACACCCTGCCCACTTTTCTCCAGGCGGCCAACATGCCTGATGCCGAGCTGTTCGAGCTGATCTCTGAGAACCGCTCCATGTCAAGGAAGCTGGAAGAGTACGGGGAGCAGAAGTCCACGTCCATCAGCACGGCCAAGCGTCTGGCCGAGTTCCTGGGAGATCAGATGGTGAAGGATGCGGGGCTGAGCTGCCGCTACATCATCTCCCGGAAGCCCGAGGGGTCTCCGGTCACGGAGAGGTGAGGGCTCCCAGCGCAAGGCAAGGGTTCCTGAAATCAGGAAATGCGATGTTAAAAGCACCCATTGGTTGGAGATAAGGAATGATGGTGCCAGTTGTAGGTGACCATGTAGACCGGCGCTCACGCCATGTGCATGGGACTGTGGGTGACAGTCACTTTGGAGAGAAACCAGCAGCACGTGGTGAAGTAGAAGATGCCTGATTTACTGCACAGTCGAGCACTTCTGGGGATGTGTCCTGTATAGCCACCGTGTTTACATTGTGTTAAAGAGCAAAATTTGGGAACACCGTAAGTGTCCTTCAACCAGAAAATGGGTAAATGTAGTTTTTATGCAGTGAAGTGCCATATAGGAGTTGGAGTGACGGTCACAGCTACGTGTTACAACACTGATCCAGTTTAAAACAATGTTGAACAGAAAAAACAAGTTGCAGGAAGATCAGTACTGTATACCTCCTGTGTAAAGTTTACAAACATGGAAAATACTCTTATTTTTTATGGATACATACAAATAGTAGTAGCATAAGAACGTGCAGAGGATTGATGAACACCAAACAGGGCTTGCGTTTCTTTCTGAGTGAGGAAAGTCAGCAGAGCTGCTTAGGCAGGCAGCTTCGTCCTCTGTGTTTTCATGTGTGAAGAAAAAGGGCGGGGCTTGAAGTTTGACAGGACCGGGTGGGGGCGCAAGGCTTGTTGTCTTCCTAAGTTTCTTTATGTTTACCGTTTCACAGTAACAAGTGAAAGAAAGAGCAGTGTTGACAGGTGCCCTGTCACTTTGCTAGTGACGTGCAAACTGGCCTGTTCTTTCAGGAGAGCAGATGGACTCTTCCCAGGTGTTACCCAGCGAAGAGCATTTTAGAAATGTTTAATTATATGCATGCACACGAATGTGTCATTTACGCGAAGGCATGGGAAACAGCTCTTCGCAGTGGCCAAACACAGCACAGACCAAGTGGCCACTGGCGGAGCATTAGTGTTTAGCCATCATATTTTAATACGACGAAGTGCTCTGTGGTTATTTAATACGATAAACATTAGATGTCATGTATAGTTTATACAAAATAACATTAAATGAAAACAGGTTGCAAACTATGTTATGAGTCCTTTTTTACAGTAAAACACACATACGCTTGGTGAGTGCTGTGGCCGGCTGTGGGGAGACATCCTGGCTGAGCTCTGTCCCTGTTGTCACCCAGGGCCATCCCACTCGCCATCTTCCAAGCAGAGCCCACGGTGAGGAGGCACTTTCTCCGGAAATGGCTGAAGAGTTCTTCCCTTCAAGACTTTGATATTCGGACAGTGAGTGCTGACTTTGTCCTACTTGGAAGTTTAAGGAGAAACCAGACAGCAGAGTACCTGACTCAGGCTAGCGTTCTTCCTGGCATCTTCACAGTGGACGTGTGATGGGGGGGAGTCGTGACTTCCGGGCAGACGTAGAAACACGAGAGGGGCCTTCCTTGCTGTCTCAGACAGAAGCAGGCTTGGTTCTGGAGCACAGTGCTGTGAGCCGTGGCCTTGGCAGCGTCGTTTAAGCTCTCCGCCTCAGTTCCTTCCTCCGTGAAAGGGGCACCTTCATTGCAGAATTTCAGAGGATGAATCAGAATCAGACACAAGGAGGCGTTCGGCACAGTGCCGCTGCCGCCACTGCTTTTCTCACACCCCTGCCATCTGTCCCATGCTCAGATCCTGGACTGGGACTACTACATTGAGCGGCTGGGGAGTGCCATCCAGAAAATCATCACCATTCCTGCGGCTCTGCAGCAGGTGAGGTCAGGGCCAGGGGGCTGGCCCAAGGTGGCTTAGAAGCCACAGAGATTGGGCCTGGCTTGAGCTAGCTAGGTCACAGGTGATTAGATCTCACCTTCATGTAGGTAAAGAACCCAGTGCCACGCGTCAGACACCCCGACTGGCTGCACAAAAAGCTGCTGGAAAAGAATGACATCTACAAGCAGAAGAAGATCAGTGAGCTCTTTGTCCTTGAGGGCAGGAGACAGGTAATGGGCCTTGCCCGGGGCAGCAGAGGCCGAGACAGTCATGGCTGGGCCGGTCCTGGGGGCACATGGCACCAGAGTCCCTTTGCCGCAATCTGTAACATTAGAAACTTCCTTTCGCGTGTCTAGAATTTTTTTTCTATCTAAAAATGTACACCTTGACACTCTGCTCTTTAATTCCCCCGTTCTTTCATGGTAGGAGCTGACTCCTCCAGGTGGGGTGCAGACCTGTCTTACAGAGAGCACTGTGCCAGTAGACTTGGTGACCTGGGGTGAATCCTGCACCTAAGGACTTCAGTTTTCTAAACTGTAAAATAAAAATCTGTTAGAAACTAAAAAACACTGAAGACGCTGTCATGAAAGGTGCAGAGGTGCAGGGAGGCCAGAGGAGGGGGCTTTACCTGTTCTGCAATGTCATATTTCTCATGAAGAGGAAGGAGAGTTCTGGCGCCAGTGGGGAAATGTGAAGGTTGCTCCACAGTGGTGGCACCCAGTGACATTTTTGTGCGAGCTCAGCACCATGAGAAGTTAAAATGGACTTGTCCGTAAATGAGCATCTGTGTATGAGTACTTGGTCCCGATTAGGCGATGCCCTCGGATGGATGTCTAGAAATGGGTTTGCCAGGACCGTGTTCTAAGTGTCGGCTTGTTCGTCACAGGTGAGTGTGGCCCAGGCTCTGGCAGGCACCCTGAGCCCTGGAGCTCCCGACATGGAGGACTTTGGCCTCGCAAAGCCACCCCACTCAGCAGTCCCCGTCAGTACCAAGAGGAAGCGCATCCTCTGGGAGAGCCAGGAGGAGTCTCAGGACCTGGGGCTGACGGTGCCCTGGCAAGAAGTCTTGGGGCGGCCTCCGGCCCTCGGGACCACCCAGGTGAGAAGCCTCAGGGAGTCTGCAGTGGCTGGTGGGAGGAGGGAGCAGGGCTGCCGGTCAGGCCCGCGCGCTGGTGCCCTATCTCCCTGCAGGGACCCCGAGGTGGGTCCTGACCCCTGAGAAGATTGGTGAGCTTCCCAGTCATTACGGAGTACGTGGATGTGTGGCTGCGTTGCCGTGAAGTGCATCCTGTTTTACTTCGTGCCCCTCAGTCATTTTTGTCGTCTCTGCCTCCTTGTCTTGTCCCGTGTCTGTCTCAGGAAGAGTGGCTGGTCTGGCTCCGGTTCCACAAGAAGAAGTGGCAGCTGCAGGCCCGGCAGCGCCTCGCTCGCAGGAAGAGACAGCGCCTGGACACGGCAGAGGGCGCGCCACAGCCCGGGGCCGTCCGAGAGGGGCCTGCCACGGGGCTGGGGGGCTTCTTGCGAAGAACTGCCCGCAGCATTCTGGACCTTCCGTGGCAGATCGTGCAGGTGCGACGGGTCCCTGGGAGGGTGGGACAGCCCCAGGCCAACATCATGGCCGATGGCACCATCTGGCCAGCTCAGTGTCCTGGGGACCGTCCTGTGGTCTGGGATGGCAGAGAAAGGGCAGGCCTTGTCTTTCTGCCTCTGCTTTGGTTGATGCTGGAGGCTACAGTGAGGCCCCCACTGCTGTACAACCTGCTCCCTTTCAGATCAGCGAGACCAGTCAAGCCGGCGCGTTCAGGCTGTGGGCTGTCATCGGCAGCGACTTGTACTGCATCAAGCTGAGCGTCCCCCGTGTGTTCTACGTGAACCAGCGGGTGCCCAAAGCGGAGGAGGGGCCTTCATATCGCAAGGTATAGAAAACAGTTGGTCATGCTGGTCACTGTGGCCAGCTGCCTGCTCAGCCTCTGAGGCTATCTCTACAGTGATGGAGGCCGCACAGAGGCCCGGGGTCCTGTGAATGTGTGTCCCTGAGCGAGGTGTCCTGTAGCCTCTATCTCCTGAGAGGCTTCTCGGGACACAGCAATAATCAGCTGAAACGCAGAACCGATCGGTTCAGCGACAGGAGCTGCTGGTGGCCTTGTCCTGGGTGCACTGTCCTCTTGTATTGATATACACAAGTGACTGGGTGGACACTTGTTGGAACGTAGGCCCTGTCCCCATGGATCGTGGAGAGTAACAGCCTTATTGGGATGTGATCCTCACACCGACCGTCACTCATCTAAAGTGTAGCTCAGTGGCTGGTAGTGTGTCACCGAGTCGTGAAACCATCACCCCAGAAAGAAACCTTAGCCTCTCCTCCCCAGCCCTGGGTGCGAGCCCTCTGCGGACGGACGTCTATAAATGGAATCCGACGGTGGGTGGTCCTCCGCCTCCTTCCCCCGGGGCGTGTCTTCATCGGCTTTCACCTGGGGTCTCCGTCCACATGCCCAGCCAGCTCTACCCAGAGCGCGGGCACTGAGGTCGTCCATGCATGTGTCTTGTTCAGGTGCTCACAGTCGCAGAGTGAGCCGACATCTTGTTGAGACGAGACTTATGTGTTTCTAGCTGGGAACTGGAGTGAGAAATGCCAGCCCAGAGACTCAGCAGCACGTGGATGTAGGACACAGGGTGCAGGGCAGGGCGCAGGGCCGCAGAGAACGGACAGCCTGGGGCTCCCGGAGGTTTCTCGGTGTAACTGGGAGAACGTCCTTCCTTTTGGGGCATTTCTCCCTTTGGGTGCCTCTCTCCTGCTCCCTCCTCACTAGGACTGCCCCACTCTGCTCCCCCGGGGGCTCTTCCCTGTCCTCTGAGTAGGGAAACCCTCAGGCGAAACCCAGAAGACTGGGAGCTCCCGCCCCTCCCACTCAGAGCAGCTCTGCCCCTCAGAGGTCTCAGGTTGCTTCTCAAAGTGATGCCCAGAGCTTTGAGTTTTACTTATTGAGTAAAATGGAGTATACCCCACAGTCGTGGGCACCAGAAGTCCTAGGAATGTTTAAATGATGCATGTACACATGTGAGAGCATGTGCATGTGTGTACGCCTGGGTGGGGGCCATGTGTTACAGACATTACCACTTACCTTGTTTGTGCTTTCCACAGGTAAATCGAGTCCTTCCTCGGTCCAACATGGTCTATAATCTCTATGAGTACTCGGTGCCTGAGGACATGTACCAAGAACACATCAACGAGATCAATACTGAGCTGTCGGCCCCAGACATTGAGGGCGTGTACGAGACTCAGGTAACTGCCTTCCCAGCTGGACTGGGCGGGGATCCCACCGGACAGAACCAAGGACGAGAAACCCACAGCATATCTGCCAAAGACGGCCTGAAAATAGTGGGCCACACCCCAACCACAGCGGCCCCTGTCAGCCCTCGTCCCACCTGTCGGCCCTCTCCAGGTCCCGTTGCTGTTCCGGGCCCTGGTGCAGCTGGGTTGTGTGTGTGTGGTCAATAAGCAACTGGCGAGGCACCTGTCGGGCTGGGAAACAGAGACCTTTGCTCTCGAGCACCTGGAGATGCGCTCTCTGGCCCAGTTCAGCTACCTGGAGCCAGGTATGGCGTGTGCTGGCCGCCCTCGCCCTTGTCCTGCCCCGCCTCCCGCACCTCTTGGGTGACGTGTGTGTCCTCCTGCAGGGAGCATCCGCCACATCTACCTGTATCATCACACACAAGGCCACAAGGCACTCTTCGGCATCTTCGTGCCCTCGCAGCGCAGGGCGACTGTGTTTGTGCTGGACACCGTGAGTTCCTGGCCAGGGCTGCAGGGGTGCCTTCCTGGGGTGGGGTCTGGGGGGCAGCGGGTCACTGGGCAGGAAGATGCCCAGTCCTCTGGCCTTGTTTCCAAACACGAGTGCCCGTGGCGATCAGACGAGAAGCGGGATGCGGAGGCGGGTCCGCACAGAGGGGCGCTCTGGGCACGGCGCTCTCCGCAGGGCAAAGGGTCGACGCGCTCTCGTTTAGGTGCGAAGCAACCAGATGCCCAGCCTCAGCGCCCTGTACTCAGAGGCGGATCTGCACAGAGGGGCGCTCTGGGCACTGCCCTCTCCGCAGGGCAAAGGGCTGACGCACTCTCGTTTAGGTGCGAAGCAACCAGATGCCCAGCCTCAGCGCCCTGTACTCAGCCGAGCACAGCCTCCTGCTGGAGAGGGTGGGCCCCGAGCTGCTGCCGCCCCCCAAACACACGTTTGAAGTTCGGGCAGAAACTGACTTGAAGACTATTTGCAGGGCCATTCAGCGCTTTCTGCTGGCCTACAAGGTGAGTTGTGGGGGGGTCCCGTCCTGTGAACCCCTCCCCTAGGCCAGGTCTTCCTAGCTGCCTTGTACCTTGTGCCCAGGAGGAGCGCCGTGGGCCCACACTTATCGCCGTGCAGTCCAGCTGGGAGCTGAAGAGGCTGGCCGGCGAGGTTCCTGTCCTGGAGGAGTTCCCACTTGTGCCCATCCGCGTGGCCAACAAGATCAGCTATGGAGTTCTGGACTGGCAGCGCCACGGGGCCCGGCACATGATCCGCCACTACCTCAACCTAGACACCTGCCTGTCACAGGCCTTCGAGATGAGCAGGTGAGCGGGGCGCACAGATGTCTCTGGGCATTTCTGCAGCTCTGTCCACCTTGGTTGTTGCCAGCCTCATCGGTTTCTGGCAGCAGGCTTTCCATCCTCAACCTGGGACTTGCCCTGTGACCCGGACCCCCACAGGTACTTCCACATCCCCATCGGGAACCTGCCTGAGGACATCTCCACCTTTGGCTCCGATCTCTTCTTTGCCCGCCATCTCCAGCGCCACAACCACCTGTTGTGGCTCTCCCCTACGTCACGCCCTGACCTGGGTGGGAAGGAAGCCGACGACAACCGCCTCGTCATGGAATTTGAAGACCAAGCCACCGTGGAGATTAACAGTTCCGGCTGTTACTCTACAGGTGGGTGGGCAAGGCCTACAGGGGCCTCAGCTGCTGGTTTCTGCCATTTCTCACCATTCTCTGGTGGTGAGCACGCCCAGCCGCGGACCCTAGGCACTTGGCCAAGGCTGTAGGGGCCTCTTGAGGGCAGGGTGAGTGCGGGCCGGGCTCTGCAGTCAGCCCATCTGGGGCTTGTCGGCCACCCTAGCAGTGGTAGTTTTTCTGAGGTGGTACTGGCTGGGGCAGGCTCTAAACCAGGGGTTGGTCAGTGCATAAGAACTGGCGTCTGTGTGTGCAGTGTGCGTGGAGCTGGACATTCAGAACTTGGCCGTCAACACCATCCTGCAGTCTCACCATGTCAATGACATGGAAGGGGCTGACAGCATGGGCGTCAGCTTCGACGTGATCCAGCAGGCCTCCCTGGAGGACATGATCACCGGCAACCAGGCTGCCAGCGCCCCGGCCAGCTATGACGAGACGGCGCTCTGCTCCAGCACCTTCAGGTGCCCGGGGCCCGTGTCCCTGAGAACATCTGGCTTTTTGTTCTGTGCCCTCCTCTCTGGGGCAGAGTAGCTATGTTTGGGCTCTGGGAGGCACACGAGACACCATTTGACCCTCGGCCCATGTTTTAGGAGACTTGGGGCTGAGACAGTCACTGGGGCTCCCCTGCACTAGTCGGCAGGGTCAGGAAGTATCTTGGCACAGTGATGCGTCTAGCCCCTTCCTGTGGCCAGAGGCATGTCCTTGTGGGGGCTCCGGTTAACTGGGAGCCTGGGTGCTGGTTGAGTACTTGCTGTGGGTTCGACAGTGGGCTGCAAACGCAGGTTAAGCCGGGCAAAAAGTGGTATGAGTCACAGGTTCAGATGTCCAGAGAAAATTGCTATGGACAGGGTGACGCTGTGGCAGCCGGCATGTGTCCTCTTCACGGCCTACATAGCCATCGCCCATCGTAGAGATGAGAACACTGAGGCAGCGGGGCTGATCTCATGCCAAGCGGGAGGGTCCTGTATCTGCAGAACCATGGTCTTCAGCCATCGGTCCTGTCGCCTTCTTGCAAAAGGGAGACAGGACTTTGAAAATGGCAGGGACAGGACTGATAGAGGGACGGCTCAGGGACACACCTGCATGGTGCGGTGGGGACCAAGGGCTGTCTGCGCAAGGAAGTGGCCAGTGCGGTTCTGAAAGGTGGGGTCAGACCACAGGTGGCAGGACTGTTACTGAGGGAACAGCTTCGTTGTGCCATGTGGTGTCATCCAGGCAGTTTGGTGGGGTGGCCAGGATGAGGCAGGTGGTTGGGACCATGGCTGTGCAAAGGCGAGGGGGCCCTGCAGGTCTCTGCTGGCATCTGTTCTGGCTCTCCTGGCAAGGCTGGGGCCTGCTGCACACCTGTCACCTTATCTGTCCCTACACTGAGCGTGCGGGGAGGGCGCGAGGGGCTGTGTGAGGCGGTGAAGCCCGGCCATGGTGAGGGTGCGGATGGGCTGCGGGGAGCCAAGTGATGGGGTTGGGCGGTGCAGGGGAGTGGGGCTCAAAGGTGACAGCAGAACAGGAAGAGCTGGTGCCAGTAACCGTGGGGGGCGCGTGCTTACCTGTCTTCCAGGGTCCTGAAGAGCATGGTGGTGGGCTGGGTGAAGGAGATCACACAGTACCGCAACGTCTATGCCGACAACCAGGTGATGCACTTCTACCGCTGGCTCCGGTCCCCGGCCTCGCTGCTGCACGACCCCGCCCTGCACCGCACGCTGCACAGCATGATGAAGAAGCTCTTCCTGCAGTGAGTGCCGCCGGTGGCTCTCTCCGGGTTGTGCTGACCCCTTGGTCTCCAAAGTCAATAGTGAAAGGGTCCCAGGAGAAACTCAGCCTTGTCACAGCCTCCCACGGTGCCCTTGTGGAGATGTGCTATGCGACGCCATCTTCCTGCCGCTCGTTTGCACAGGTCACCGTACACCGCGTGTTCTGCCTCTCACTTATCGTAGTTACCTGTAGGTCTTGGAGATCTAGGTAGGGGTGTGTCATACTAACAGATGGTTAGGCTGTTTGCAGAACTTGCTGTTACGAATAACCAACCAGTGAATTTTCCTTCTGGAGCCTGAGGTCATGCAAAGAGATCTGTAGCATAAACTCCCGGAGGTAGCACTGTTGCAGGTCTGACAGATGTTATAACTAGGCATAAACACTAAGTGGCCGCCATGGAGGTCATACTGATGCCACCGCCAGCAATGACTGGGGTGTGGCCCACCCTAGCCCCACCAGCGTGGCAGGTTGCTGCCAACCCGATGGGGCAGAACACTGCCTCGGTGTGCTCTTAATCTGTGGTTCTTATTGTGGATGAGGTGGGACTTTCTCTTCATGTCCTCTGCCCATTTTTCTCTGGTTTTGTTATTTCCTTCTCATTGATTTGTACGAGTACTTTGTATATAAAAGTTAGCCGTTTTCTATGATACGAGTTGCACGTTTTTTCCGGGTTTTGATTATCTTTGGCTTTGTCTTGGTGGGTTTTCACTGCGCAGAAATCACCACTGTTGCTTCTGGGTTCTGCTGTACTTAGGATGACTTCTGTGTCAGGATCGTTAGCTCTATCCCTCACGGTGTCTTCGGGGATTCTCTGCAACATCTTGACCCTTGACTCTGCTCTTCGTCTGCAGGCTCATTGCCGAGTTCAAGCGCCTGGGGTCGTCAGTGGTCTACGCCAACTTCAACCGCGTCGTGCTCTGCACCAAGAAGCGGCGGGTCGAAGACGCCGTCGCCTACGTGGAGTACATCACCAGCAGGTGTCAGCGCCGCCCGCTCTTACCCCCCAACCCCCGCTGAGTCCCTCCCTGGTGTCTGGCCTTCTGCCAGCGGACACTCGAAACTTGTTTGTAGCTGGGTCTTCAGGTCTGAGAAAGCCCTTATTTCACCTAATTTCTGAAAGATATTTTAAGTAGAATTTCTATTGAAAGATAGGTCCAGAATTACAGTAGATGTTTTCTGAAAGTTTTTATCTTCTCTGTATCTTCCTGGGAAATTTCTGTCTATGTCTTTAAGTTCACTGATCTGCAGTGTCGACGCTGCCGTTAACCCTGCTATACTTTCCGTTTCCGACACTGCTGTTCTCTCAGAGCCTCGTTCGGGTCCCTGAATTCCTTGAGTACATCTAACATGTCCCTCTCTCTAGCGTTTCGCACACACAGACCGCAGTCATAATGGCTGCTTTAATGTTGTTCCCTTCCTCGCGCGCTGATGTTGGCATCAGCTCTGATTTGTCTGCAGTCGGTAGGTTTTTCTCCTTACTCTGTGTTGTCTTTCTCTGCCTCTTTGCAAACCTGGTGGTGATGCCGGATTAGACGCCAGACATTGTGGATCTTGCCTTGTCTGTGGGATGCTGTTGTGTTCCCGTCACTATTCTGGGGCTTTTTGTTCTGTGACTTGGAAACAGTTTGATCCTTTGGGGCATTTTTGAGATCTATGGGCAGGGCCAGAGCAGCACTTAGTCCAGAGCTCACTGTTCCCCACTGTTGAAGAAGCAAGACTCGCGAGCTGCGAGGCTCCGTGGCAGTGGCGGGAGCGGGCATGCCAGGGGGCCCGTCCACGAGCCTGGCCGTGCTCGAGGAGGAGCCTGGGGAGGGCACGGCTCTCTGCGGCTCTGCCGCTCACTCTCTACGCCCGTCCCCGCTTTTCCTGCCTGGCTGGATGCACAAGTCTCCTTAGTACTGCTTATCACGTTCCCTAGGAAGTCTGAAGTTTTTAAATAAGTGAAGGGTAAGCGGATAGGTTCAAAAATAAAAGAAGAAAAATGGAGAAAAAGGGGAAAACTGGATTTCACTTAAGCAATTCCTGTTTGGCTTCTTTTTAGCATCCATTCCAAAGAGATCTTCCATTCCTTGACGATTTCTTTCTCTCGATGCTGGGAGTTTCTTCTCTGGATGGATCCCTCTAACTATGGTGGAATCAAAGGGAACGTTCCATCTAGCATCCACTGTGGACAGGTGAGGTGACCGGTCCTGGAGAGCTGAGGTTGGGACTGAATGATGTTGAGGTCCACGTGTGTCTGCTCAGCACACGATGTGGTCACAGGCTGGTGCCAGGAACAGCTCCAGGCCCCAGTCGTGCAGCAGCAAACGACAGGCCCCGCCATCGTGGCATCTGTGAGGGGAGAGAGATGCGCAAGCAGACGAGTAGATATAGGATTGGAGTCGGCAATGGTGACAGCTCAGAACCAACACGGAGCCGGGAGAGGCAGAGAGCGGGCCCGGGGCAGGGGCTGCGTGAGAGGGGAGGTCCGGGAGCCTCTGAGGAGGTGACGAGAAGGTAGAGCTTGAAGGGAGCGAGCGAGCGGCCTGTGCCAGCAACGGGTGAGGCAGCTGTGAGTTGTAGTGTAGGGTGGGGAGGGGGCAGTGGTCACACCGCTGGCCGGGGCCAGGCCTCTAGGGCCTGAGACTGTGGTGGAGACTTGGCCTAAGTGACAGGGAGATTCTGAGCAGGGAAATGTCGGGCATGACTTCCTCCTGCGCCCTGTGTGGACAGCACCGTGCGAATAGGGGCCCAGCTAATGTCAGCCCAGGGGAGGGGGCAGGGTCAGAGAGAAGTACTCGCTGAGTATTGCGGTGGAGTGGACAGGCCATCGGGGTGGATGTGGGTGACACGGGTGTGGGCTGTGTGCGGGCCGTGCCCGCATGCGTGACCCAGGGCTGTTAGCAGATGGACGGGGCGAGAGAGCGAGTGTGCGGTGAGGGGCTCGTGCTTGGTCGGGACGAGTGGCCTTTCCATGCCTGACAGTTGCTCAGCGTGTGTAAGGTGGGGACACAGGTCAGGTAGTGGCAAGGTGTCTGGGGGTGCCGGGCTGGCGAGGTCGCTTGGGGCTGTGTGAGTTGCAGGGACCGAGCCCCGCCTGGGTGGGTTTTCATGGAGGAGCCAGGGGACGGGGTCTCAGAATCAAAGGGAGTGCCTCCAGGGGCCTGAGTGCATGCCAGGAGAGAGGAAGGTCAGGCAGTGTAGACAGATCGATGGAAGGCGGTGGTTGTCGCTGCTCTGAGGACGGCAGCCGTCAGACTTCATGTGTTGAAATGAAAGGTGTCGTGGGGAAGGGGACCCGAACGCAGGGCCGTCGCAGCAGACCTAGACCCTGAGACCCAGCACCGACCATGGCAGAGGGGTCTGGGACTCAGACCAGAGGGCCAGTCTCTCGCACGCCCCCTAGAGCTGAGTGACTGAAGCGAATGCTCTGAAAGGGCCAGGTGAGACCGACCATCCCATGTGGCACGTGTGCCTGTGCACGCGGCATGGCACACAACGCCTTCCACAGAGCCGTCCCCCAGGAATCTGCCAGGCTCGGGGAGACAAGATGGCTAGACGAATGGGGTCGGAGACCGGGGTGCAAATGACTCATTGCCGCTGCGAGAACACGGCGGGCTGTCTGTTACAGCAGGACCCCCAAAACGAGGGCAAAGAGCAGGACGACGAGGACGGGGACGAGGACGGGGACGAGGACAGGGACGAGGACGAGGACAACAGTGGGCAGGAGCCTGATGTGGAGGACTTGCTGGAAAACAACTGGAACGTCGTGCGGTTCCTGCCGCAGGCAGCCTCCTGCCAGAGTTACTTCCTCATGATAGTGTCAGGTGAGCCGCCCGCTGCCGCCCCGTCATGTCGTGCCGCTCTGTGGAACACTGCGCTTGGCACGCTTGCCCCTGGGCGGGATGTGCCCTGGCCGCACACCGTGCCCGGTAGAAAACGCCCTCGTCCTCTGTCCACACCTTCAGCCTCTCACAGCTGCCCCAGCCCGTGTCACTGAGGGGCCCATGTTTCTGCCCCAGGATTGGCGTGTGTGCACAGGTGGTGACTGGAAGGGGCGCGGCGCTCACGCAGTCGGCTGCCCACGGGCTGGCCTTTGAGGCTCAACTCCTGGTGTAATAAAGCCCTGCATCTGATTTGGGCCTAAGGGGTCTGAAGGGTTAGTGTTTACAAACCAATTACCTGCGCTGACATGCAGATGAAACTCGTACGTTAAACACCCACCGCGGTTCAGAGCCAGGCATTAGAACAGTAGACGGGTGCTGTCGATCCGACTCACAGCAGATGCGCACCCGCAGGAGCGGCCAGCGTGGTTTCCTTTGAGATTGTATTTTTGTCTGCTTATCCTGAGTCACTTTCTTAAGTTCACTTGAATTGTGTGGGCCTGGTGGTCAGGTGTATGGACCCTGGGCTTCGAGCCTTTGTTTTTGTCGCTGTCCAGCGTGGCGGTTGGCGTGGGCTGCCTTATTTATGCGGCGCTCTAAGCATGCACATAGACGTCAGCACTCCCTGCTTATTCCCATGTCGGCGATGGGCCTGGCTCATCTACGTGCAGCGAATAGTCAGTGCCAACAGCAGCGTCTCGTCCCCGGCTGGCTGACAGTCTGACCAGCCCAGGGTCTCCCTGGCCTCTGGGGAGTCCTGGGCATCGCCCACTAAGACCTGTGGCCTGTGCCTGCCCCACAGCGTACATCGTGGCCGTGTACCACAGCCTGCAGGAGGAGCTGGGGCGCAGTGCCCCGGGGAGCACCCCTGTAAGGAGGAGGGGCGCCAGCCAGCCATCGCAGGAGGCCCAGGGGGCCGCTGGAGCCCTCCCCGGTGAGTTACCCCTGCTGCATGCGGCCTTCACCGTGTGCCTGTAACCTGACCCCTCTGTGCTCAGGGAGTCCCCAAGTCCAGGGCGGGGTCCCTGAGTCATTCTCAGCATCCTCTCACTGTGCGAGGTGGGGGCAGGTGCCATGTCCCTTGTCTTCCCAGGAGTGATCACCTTCTCTCAAGATTATGTGGCAAATGAGCTCACTCAGAACTTCTTCACCATAACTCAGAAGATTCGGAAGAAAGTCACGGGCTCGCGGAACTCGGCCGAGCTGTCGGCGCTGTTTCCTGTCCTCCCCGGTTCTCACTTGCCGCTCAATAACCCTGCTCTGGAGTTCATCAAATACGTGTGTAAGGTGAGGGCGCTCGTGCTGACCTGCGCGGCGAGGCCATCTGTGTGTGCAGGGAGCCAGGAGTCAGTCACACATCGATGCCACTCACTGCGCCCCTTTCCATACAGCCACTGCGTGAGGTATTCGGGGCTCAGAGGTGGACAAGAGGGGGAGACCCGTGTGCTCAGGTGCTGTGAGGTGGGCTCAGAGTGGCGGGCAACGCGAGTCAGGCCCTCTGCCCGGCCCGGGGCTGAGGCCGCAGCAACCAGGGGGTCGGGCCACATGCGGATCCCAGGAAAGAATGGTGTGTGGGCAGAAGGGTTGTTCAGGCCCTGGGGTGGGGTGATCTGGGGGTGCTGGTGAGACGGCAAATGCCAGCGACCGGACACAGCCCCTGAAACGTCCAGGCTTCTTGGAACCTCAGGGCAGCTCGCTTAGAGCCAAACGCCTTCTGGGAAGGGAGCCTGAGGCAGACACGGGTAGTGTTACCGGATGAGGCTGGGCAGGCACCTCACGCGCAGAGCGCTGCACTGCTCATTAAGTTAGCCCCCGGCAAACTGCACTTCAGTGACCAACGCTCCAGGATCGGGTGGCTTCTGACTGTCGTGGAGGAATGGTTTAGTGGGCATCTCAGTTCCTTGTTGGACTTCAGAATAGTTTTAATTTATTTTTATTAAGGTATAACTTACGTGTAATAAAATTCACCGTTTTTAGTGTCATTCTTTGAGTTTTGCCAAAACTCATGTATCGACTGCCAGAGTCAGGATGCGGCACATCCCAGCACCCCCACAGTTCCCCACTCCTGGCTCACGCTTCCTCACATTTTCAAATGTACCCATAGTAAGATTCATTCTCTGCAGTGCAGCTGTTAGAGTTTTCACACATGGATAGAGCTATGCTACCAACAGCAAGGTACAGGACAGTCACCCGAGAGCAGGCCCCGTGCCGCCCTGTGGGGCTCACCCCTCCTCACCCAGAGCTGTGCCCTCTATCACCACGAACAGGGCTTGGAAGGGCATAATGGTGCCAAGAGCTGCAGCTTATAGTCGGCCGCAGAGTTTTTCTAGTCGGACAGCAGCAGGGGCCTCAGGAGCCATCCCTGCCACGTCCCCGTCCTCTGCAGGTGCTGTCTCTGGACACAAACATCACAAATCAGGTGAACAAGCTGAACCGGGACCTGCTCCGCCTGGTGGACGTGGGCGAGTTCTCCGAGGAGGCCCAGTTCCGAGACCCCTGCCGCTCCTACGTGCTCCCTGAGGTCATCTGCCGCAGCTGTAACTTCTGCCAGGACCTGGACCTGTGCAGAGACCCCTCCGTCTCTCAGGTGAGCCGGCTCCCACACCCTCGCCAGGGGAGCAGGAGCACCCAGGCTGCAGGCGACAGGTCACATCCTGCCACGCCCACTGTCAAGTGACCCATGTCCACCATATTACCCCTGCTAGCTTCGATGTGAATGAAAATAGGCACCCTTGCTTATGCCACTCAACTGCCACACGCTAGAGCATTGTCCCGATAAACATGTCAGTAAGCGTGTCCAGATCTGTGAGCTGCTGCACGCCGTATGCGCCTGTCCCCGAGGGCTTTTCAACACCGAGTCTTAGCCAGTGTGGACACGCTGCGGGGAGGGCTGGGCAGAGGCTGACGCGCTGTTTCTCGGCCCAGGACGGGGCTGTGCTGCCCCAGTGGCTCTGCTCCAACTGTCAAGCTGCCTACGACTCGTCCGTCATCGAGGCAGCGCTGGTGGAGGCCCTGCAGAAGAAACTGATGGCCTTCACCCTGCAGGACCTGGTGAGCGCCCCCCAACAGAGGGCCCCTTGATAAGCGATGTGAGCCCGTGGGGAACTGGGGGCGCACAGGTCTCAGGTCAGAACCTGGGCCTTCCCGGTGGCACCTCAGGTCAGGCCTCGTCCACAAGCCCAGGTGACTCAGCCTTGTAGCACCTTGGGCACCTACAGTGGCCAGGTTCTGACTTCATGGACCTTTCGTTCTGGCGGAGGGAGGTAGACAGCAGACAAGGTGAGCATGAGTGGCCATAGTGTAACGAGAACCGGCAGGAAGTGTGTGTGACAGAGGGAAATGTTCAGCCTTAGGTGTAGGGGACCCGTCAGCAAGGACCGAGGGAGGTGTGGGGTCTGGGCAGAGCACGCCTGGCGCCTGGCGTGATGTCCCTGTGGGTGCTGGGAGGCGGTGGCGCATTCGGATGAAGCTGGCGTGAGGCGGAGGGGTGGGCGGGGGGCCGCTGACCAGCTGTCACTCGTTTCAGGCCTGCCTGAGGTGCGGGGGCGTGAAGGAGACGCACATGTCCGTGTACTGCACCTGCGCGGGGAGCTTCGCCCTCACCATCCGCACCAAGGTGCGGCCCCGCCCCTCTGCTCCGCCCTGTGCGCCTTACTCAGCCTCTGTCCCTGCACCTCCTCAGGGGCAGAGGCTCACAGCCACTGCCTTCCCACAGGTCTTCATGGAGCAGATCGGAACCTTCCGGAACATTGCCCAGCACTGTGGCATGTCGTACCTTATGGAGACCCTGGAGTGGCTGCTGCAGAGGAACCCCCAGCTGGGCCATTAGCAAGCTGGCGCTGTCCCCACTCTCTGCCCCAGCTCCCCAAACTCGGGCACGTCCAGGATGGGGATAAGGAAGACAACCCCCCAGGAAGCGTTTGGGGAGCAGGTCACACTGCCGGACCCAGCTGGAGCAGGAAGTGGCCCCTGGGCCCAGCCCTGGTCAGGGCAGCTGTGGGCCGAGAGCATCCAGTACAGGGCCCCGAGGCCTCATTTCTCCCAGAATGAACACGAGGGTCCCTGTGGTGCTGCACAGCCTGGCCTTCCCGCACCCCCACTGCCCTTGGGGGTCTTCTCTTTGAGCTGAGACGCTGAGGATGGTTGGAGGCCAGACCCAGGGTGAGGTGATGCTTAGTGACAGTCTGCAGCTCCAGCTGTCTAGTCACTTGTCACCACAGAAAACCAACATCCCCCGCAGTGCGGGCCAGTTCCGGCCATGCAGACCTGAACCCATGGGGACCTGGGCGTCTCTGGTGACTCTAGTCGAAGCAGGGGCTGCAGGGGTGTCCCCATCGGGCCGGGCGGAGGGCTGAGGAGCGTGGAGCTCAGGCCAGGCTTCTCAGACGGGCTTGGCATGAGCCTTGAAGAGGGCTGTTTACCATGGACTTCAACCACACGTGCATGTTGGCGTCTGGATTTCAGAAAAACACATCCTCACCGCTGAGATTTTAGGTTCCTTCCTTCAGTGGAGGGAGGGACTAGCAGCAGCGTTTCGGGTGGAGGCGGCCTCTGTCCTTGCTTCTCAAGCTTGGCGGCGGCCAAGGCCTGTGATCCCGCGCTCGGAAACCCGAAACGGTGGACTCACAGGGAGCCCGGGCGGGCTGTGCGGCCCTCTGGTGGCCCTGTAGCCTATTTTAAATTCATCTTTGCTAGCTAAGTTCTCTGAATTCTCAGTTATACTTTGAATTCTCATCTGAATTTTACATTTTCAAGTGTTCTGTGTACGTACATGGCGCCTAGTGTCTAGAAGAAGGTTGAATCGCCAGTGGCCATTCAGAGGCGCTGGCCCCTGGGTACTGCCAGGCCAGGCCCAATGCCTGTGAGGAACCCGACGCCGGCTGGCAGCTGGCTGGAGCCAAGTCCGCCCCAGATGGAGATCTGATCAAATTAGGGCCAGCGGGGGAGGGGGGCCGGCTGGGCTTCCTGGAAGCCACACTGGAGGCGGCCAGCGCAAGGCGGGCCTGCTGCCTCCCCCTGGATGCTGTACCCTGTTCCCTGCAGCAGAACCAGGGGCACTGGGTACCCTGTCCGCAGCTCCCAGGGGTTCTCTGGAGGCCAGCTTGGGGTTGGCCTCATGCCTGGGAAACCTAAGCCCTGGCCCTAGTTTCTGAGTGGCAGTTGGCCCCAACTGGAAAAGCCAGTTTCTCCAAAATGAGCTGGACATCAGTGCACTGGACACTTGACATCCTATGACTTAGGACGTCATAGCTAACGTTCCAAGGAGAGGAGGGCCTGCTCGGTTGTCAGGTATGGGCAGATGGGAAGGCCTGTTCTGACCACCTGCCAGTGTCATTCAGATTCAGGCCCTGTGGCTGGTGTAGGGTCTGAACCCTCCCCTTGAGCTTGGGAGTGAGGGGATCACAGGTGAGGTGGTCTGCAAGGTGCTCGGCACATGCCCCCTTACACCTGCACATCTGCCATTGCTGTTGCTGGAGAAGCCACCATCCAGCCAAGCTCTGCTGTGCCCCAGAGCAAGGTCAGACCCAGTGGGGCAGCTCCATGGAATGACCATTGGAGCATCTGAGGATGCAACAACCAGATGACCGCAGGCCTGCCCCTGCTGGTGCCAGCTCCCTGCCCTCCTGCGGCCTCACTCTGCCCCGTCCACTCTGCTCCCAGCACCAGACCCCTGCCCTGCTGTTCCTCTGGGACCCAGGAAGGCGTTTTGGTTTAAGAGCAGGGACACTGAAGCTTTTTTCCTTGAGTGCAATTAAAGTCACCGCCCTCCTGGCTTCCACCACTCACCACCCTTTTAGCTTATTTGGAGGTTTGGGGTCTGGGATGATGCCTGTGGGAAGCACTAACTGAAAGGCAGGTGTGGAGGTGAGTGTCCTCATGCACTGTCGGCCTCTCTAGCCCCTTGGTCAGCTGTGACAGTGACCCGGCTGGATGTAAAGGGCAGCAGACGTGCCAACACTGCACCAGGTTGATGAGAGCACCAGCAGCCCCTGCGCAGAGGCCCACTGCTGCATGCTTGTCTTCAGGGCCTCGATGCTTTTCCCAGAAATGAGGTCAGAAGGTTCTGGACACAGGTTTATTGGATTTCGAACATGTGAAAGCTACAGGAGGAGGTCATCCCAGGCTGTGTGGGCAGGAAGGGATGGGGCAGACCAAGAGCAGGGCACTGCCCTCTCCGTGTCACCCACTGCTCAGTCGCACGGAAGTCCTCAGATTCCCAGTTTTAGGAAGACAGTGCGTGGGCAGAATCAAGGGCCTGTGCAGGTTGCAGCCGTGTTGCCAGTGGGGCCAGGGGGCTCTCCTGGGGCTGCAGACTCTGAGGCCCTCTGGGCCCTGCCTCCAGCGCAGTGTGTCAGCAGGCGGGGGTGGGCTCAGAGCCGGGCTAGCCCTCGGGGGTCTGTGAGCCTGGAGTCCTGGGGAGGCTCAGAGGCACAAGGACCTGGGCCTGTGCCCCACTCAGGTGCGTCCGCCATCTGCTCGGATGGGGCAGAGGTGGAGCAGGGCCATGGGGACAGGCCGGCCTGGGCCTGGCTCTCCCCGTCATCCTGTGGTCTGCCCGCCTGGCCTGGGTCTGCGGAGCAGGGACAGGGTGGGGGAGGCGCCTGGCCCAGAACAAGGGCGAGGGTCACAGGCCAGCTACCTGAGGAACGCCCTGGTGTACACACCTTGTCAAATTTCTTGTGGCTATAGACCTTGTTTTTGTTCATGAATGTTAGCAAGATCCAGTCACACAGGAAGGAGCCCTGGGGCCAGAGAGACCGACACGTGAGGGCTTGGGAGGACCCCCCCACACACATGCGCAGTGGATGCCCAGACCCGCCTGCGCTCCTTACCACCCCGATGGAGGTCAGCGCTGTGGCCAGATTAATGACAGTGGGGATCAGGCTGAACTTCCCTGCCTGGGGACAAGAGGCTGCCTTAGAGCACAGGGTGGGGACACGGAGGAAGGACCAGCTCTGTCCTGGGCTGCCCAACCCCAGGTGGGCAGGGCCGGCTGGTTTACCTGTCCATGAACAATAACGTCAATGCGGATCCCGTAGGCCTTGATGAGCGTGCGTGTGGTGCTACCGTTTATCTTGTAGTATTTAGCAAACCTGGGATGGAATGACCCGGAAGCACGTAAGAACCTGGACCGGAAGGGCCAAGGCTGGAGTCCTGGCCGCCTGACCCTGAGGGGCATGGCGGTGGCCGCCGCAGCTCGGAGACTACCAGCTGCTGGGAGCCTGGGCCTAGGGCACCTGCCCTGTTCACCCCTGGAGCCACCACAACCAGCGGGGACGAGGACCCAGGCACCCCAAGGCCAAGGTACCTGAAGTTGTAGCCAGATGAGGCCGGTACGTGCTTGGGGTCGAGCCTTCGGAAGGAGTACTTGGGGTTGCAGTTTGATGCCGGCAGGTCCAGGTCACAGTCCCAGTTGATAATGACCCCAATGACACCACCCTGCCCAGAAGCAGGCACAGCTGGAGGTCAGGGTGGGCACGCAGGCCACTCAGGAGCCCGGGAGTCCCACCCTGAGGCTGTAAGCGGGGTGCGCCTTGTGGAGCACCAGGGGCAGCTCCCGAGGTGAGAGCCAGGGCTTGGGGACTGGGTGAGGCAGGAGGGGTGGGGAGGCTGGGCCGTGTGACCCCGGGTCAGTAATTCAGCAGGGGCCACGCACACCCAGGTAGGGCGGCAGCTCCTCTTTCTCTGGCCTCTGCCGAGACCAGGGCCAGCCAAAACTGCAAAGCGACCGGCGTAAGGGGACCCTTGCGGGCGGGCAGGAGCCAGCACCTGGAAGGAGAGCCTCCCGGCACCGTCCCCCGCCCCTCACCGTGCGCGCCAGCTCCGTGAAGTTCTCGCCCGCCCGCTCCACGATGAAGCCCAGCTTGAAAATGGGGCAGTAGAGGTGGGAGACCTCGTCGAAGGTGCAGCGTTTCAGGTAGCCGTCGGCCCGGGTCTCGATGTTGCCCCTGAGGACGGCCCGCGCCCCAGGTGGGCCGGGCGGCAGGCGCCCAGCGCACCCCCGCGCGCACCCCCGCCCGCCCCCGGGGCTCTTACTTGGAGAACTGGAATTTGGGGTAGTGGATGCTGTTCTTGATGAGGACGGTGAAGTCGGGCGCCATCTTCCCGAGAAATTGGCTGGGAGGCGGAGACTGGGTGGTTCAGCCCCCGCCCCGGCCCCCACCCCGCTGCCCCCTCCCAGCGCCTCCCGGCTTTGGTCACCGAGGAGGAGCTGGCAGAGCAGAGTCGCGCTGCGCAGAGCTAGGGCCCAGGAGGGGGGCGCGCACCTGACGGAGGCCCCGTCTTCCACAGGGCACCAGCCGGACACCTCGCAGGTCTTGGAGGCCCCGTGGTAATAGGGCACGCAGCGCCCGGTCCGCACACCTGCGGGCGGACGCGCTCAGGTGCTGAGGGGCGCGACCCCCCGCCCCGGGCCCCGGCTGGCGCCCACTGACCGTTGCCCAGCATGTCCAGATGCCCTGCCACGCAGTCCTCGTCCGAGTCGCAAGTGGCGTTGGCTACCCTCTCACTCTGGGGACGACGCGGCTCGGTCAGGGGCCGACGCTCTGCCCCAGGCGCGGGTCGCTGACCAGACGGGGCCTCCCCCTCCCGGCTCTGCCCTCCCCCGCCTCACCTCCGGGCAGGCTCCCAGGGTCTGGGAGGGGGTCACCTCGATCCTGGTGATGATGCTGAACACGCTGCCCCCCTGGGCTCAGAAAGAGGGGACGGTCGGCCGGCGCGGGGAGCTCGGCCACCCCTCGGTCCCACCCTCCGGGCGCTCGGAGTTGGGGCGCACCTCGGGGGGCTTCACGTATTCCTCCACGTCCCACACTTTGTGCTCGGACGAGGTGATGCCCTTGACCTTAGTGATGACGGAGCTCTCGGGGCCCGTCTCCCTGTCCTGGTAGCTCTTCTGCACGATGAACACGTACCTGCGGGGACCCCCAGGGTCGGCTCGGAAGCAGCCGGGAACCCCGCGTCCTGACCTGCCCGAGCCCAGGGGACCCGGCGACCCGCCCCGCACACCCACCACACGAAGTAGAGCAAGATGAGCA